TGTGTATATTTAATTATGTACACAAATATAATCATATAATCATTCTTTTCCATGCAGAGAAATCATAACTGATGGTAACACTTACTTCCAAGCTAGGTGTTGAACAGTAGATTAAGTACTGCAAGCTTACACTGATTAATAACATACAAAGTTCAGCTTACAAGAGCATGTTTTCTGTTACACACATTTAAATCATTTGTGTATATTTAATTATGTACACAAATATAATCATATAATCATTCTTTTCCATGCAGAGAAATCATAACTGATGGTAACACTGACTTCCAAGCTAGGTGTTGAACAGTAGATTAAGTACTGCAAGCTTACACTGATTAATAACATACAAAGTTCAGCTTACAAGAGCATGTTTTCTGTTACACACATTTAAATCATTTGTGTATATTTAATTATGTACACAAATATAATCATATCAGAGTCCAGATTTTCCAACAACTTGAGGTTTATGGTTTGCAGTGATTAGTTTAGATGCCATTAAGAGTTTGTGTCTTCTTCATGCAGGTAAAAACTACATACAGTTTGGTTCCTAACAGTAATAGTTATAAGGACATGCTTTCTAACTGAGAGAAAGACAGAGTTTTTATAGAATATACACCACATAAAGTGAAAAACATGGACAGCCCATTGTTTGCTCTGGTATTGGTGAAGGAATATCAGTTTTTGCAACTGAAATGTCATAGGTTATGAGACTCTGGCTTCACAAGGTCAGAGTTTTTACATATGTGTTCTGTAATAATGTTTATATCACCCATTTCTACAATTTAAAACTAATATTTTAATTGCAAAATTAAGCAGCAATTTAACATGTATTAACAAATTCTGTTTAAAAGAAACAAAATAAACATTACATTTTTTCACCAAAAAGCTGTATTCTCAAAATCATCGATTAAGATCAATTTATTTATTTACTTTGTCTGCATAAAACATACTTTTAAAACTAAAAATATAAATTTTAGGCCATACTCTTTTGAAGACACTGGACTATGTCCTGCAAGTTTTTTAAACTTAACATATTGTCAAGATTTATATACACATTTATAAGTTTTATAACCTCACCTTTCCGGTAAAAGATAATGCCGGCTCTAGGTCCTCTCAATGTTTTATGGGTTGTGGTTGTTACTACATCGCAGTATTCGAATGGATTAGGAGCAACCTTGGCTGCAACAAGGCCACTTACATGTGCCATATCAGCCATAAGAACGGCCTTGTTTTCATCAGCTATTTCTCTGAACCTTTTGTAATCAAGATCACGAGGATAACAACTTATACCTACAAAAAACAAGTACTTTAAATTAGCTACTAATTGGTGAGGTCCCTTTTAGTACATTTCCTACATATAGTACAAGTGTTTAGATTGAGTTTAGTTATAACCCTTAACTACGGAAAGTCACGTACCGTATATTACTGTTTAAAAATGGCATCTTGACCAAACCATGTCACATATACATTTCAATAAAAACTAGTTTCATTCTGTAATTTTAAAATGGAATAGACCAGAAAAATAATTATCAGTTATTATTCATGTGATTCATTTCTACCTGCAATGATAAGTTTGGGTTTAAAGAGCTTGGCATTTTCTTGTAATCTATTGTAGTCAATGAGTCCTGTGTTGGGATCAACTTTGTAAGGCATAGATTCAAAAAAGATCGATGTAGCAGAAATTTTTTTCTTGTCTGTCATATACCCATGAGTGAGATGACCCCCATCAGGAAGATCCAGCCCCATAATTCTTCCATGGGGTTCTACAAGAGCTGTATAAACTGCAAAGTTAGCCGGCGAGCCAGAATACGGTTGAACATTAACTCCCCACTTCTCTGGATCCAATCCATACACTTTAAGGGCTCTTCTTTGGCACAGTAACTCCACCTGGTCAATAAATTCATTTCCACCATAATACCTAGAGAAAGTGGTCATAAAAACATCATTAGCATATATATATCACTAGAGTAACATGAAGATTCCATTACAGTACATGAAGCTTGAAAACAAACCATTCTGGATTTATTTTTTGTAAAACCTTAATTGTCATTAATTTACAGTCATGCAAATAAAAGCCAATACTGCAATTTAATGAATAAGTAATTTAAGTTTTACACACACACACATTATATATATATATATATATATAAAGTCTTGGACATAAAGAAATGCAAACTGAAACATTTCAAAAATCAAACACACATCTAAAAACACATGAAAGAAATTATTTCATTAAAAATGGTAATAACAAAGTTAAAAAGCAACACCATACATATTTACTTTAATTATATTCTAACATATATGTTAGAA